CACGCTCTGGCGGGAGTTTTGGAGTGTCTGGGGTGCCTGAATTCGCCTGTTGAAGCCTCCCTACATACGTCACCCGCAAGCTTTCTGGGGCGCTGCACCCCCATCCGAAGTGCATCACAACGTGGAAGCAAAGCAACGACTCCTGCAGCGCTGACCGGCCCTGACTCTCATGAACCTCTTCACGCCACCAGCCGTGAACCTCCTCCGTCATGCCCACCAGCCTGAGCATCGACCCACCGACACCTCCTTCTCCTGACGCCGACGAGCAGGACACTTTGCGCGACCTCAATCGGACCCCTCACCCCTATCACCACCAGAGCCTGGAGCTCCCCTACGCATCCGATCGCCTGCTGGTGCCCGAAAACCAGACGCAAACCCAGAATGGCTCTACATCCCTGCTGAGTCCGTACGCAAAGGACTCCTCGCCCGCGAGCGAGAGCGGCACCGAGGCCGACGATGAACATTTCCTGAAGGGCCTCCCAGCGCCCAAGACACGACTGCACAAGGGGCTCAGAGGCCAGGATGAGGTTCTTTCCGGGACGTCTACTCCAATTCTCTCTCCCGTAGTTGGCGAAGAAGACATCGCCGCATTAACGGAGAAGCCCAAGTCGCAAAAGCGCATCGCGCAGAGGCGCCGCGTCATCGAAACGCTGCGTCGGAATAAGAATCTGACCCAGCGGGCGGTTGAAGTGATCATCGTGGCATCCTTGGGATTGATGGTCCGGGCCAATCCCCAAGTGGCAAAGCTGTTAGATTATTGGGAAAGAGGTGTGTATACCTTGTTTACAAGCGATTGTTTCTCTTCTCTAACTTGGGTTTCCTCTACAGACTATCAACTCGTAGGTCTCACCTACGTCGCCCTGTTAATCATTTACCCGATACGAGTGATAGCTTGGGAATATCGCCGTGGAACACCATCAAAAACCATTCCGATTGAGATTCCTCACCATTTCGACCCCGCCCCGATACTCTACCCCCCTGCGATCACTCTTTGCGTCTCGTCACTCGTTGCGACGAGCAATACCGCAGTTGTCTTGCCGAATATTATTCTAAGCATATGCTCTTGGCCGCAACAGCTCATTCCGAAACTCGAGCGCCTCACCGCCTACGACCCTATACATTGGGGCTTAACATGCCTGCCCCTGCTCTGGAGTTCGTCGATCCGCGGCGCCTCTCAACTCGTTGACACTGGCGTCGCCCTCTCGGATGAGGATTTGACATTGTTATATCCTCTCCACCAAACTCTTTGCTTCGTATTGCATCATCTCACTACTACCAGCCTGTTAACTGCAGAGCTGCAGCTCTTCTCGATATCGTTGATCAATGTCTTGTTGCTTGCCTCATCACCGCAAGCCCTAATTCTGAAGGCGTTACTCTGGGTTGGGGGTTTAGGAACACTCGTCTTCTGCAGCTCCGTCATTCGTTCGGGGATTCTGCTAGCTCGAGTTCCGAAATGGCGATTCCGGAGGATTCCTGGCCACCGACAACGCTCTCTTCTCAGAGAGCTCTCCAAGATCTTTTCCTGGAAAAGGATCAAGAGCGAGGTGTTTGGCTCAGCTCTTGAGCCAGTTGAAGAGGAGCTATCGTTGTCTTCAGACGAGGGGAGCGAATCAGCGACGCAGTTCAAGCCACCTAAGAGAACTAGAACCGCGGGAATTGCGTTTCAGACATCGGTTGCCCACGTTTTGGCTACGTCCCCTATAGCAGACGGCCAAAACTTCACCTCTGAAGGCATTGCCCGACGGCATACATTACCATACTTGGATACGTCGAATGTTCATAATCCGACACAAACACCCTCAGGGAGAAGAAAACGGACGACTTCACTGTCTGTGCGGCCGTTTCTCAAACTGACATATACACAATCCGTTATCCGAAAATGGCTATACGCCCTTTATGTATACGTGGTCTTGATAACGGTCATCCTGGTTGGTATTCGGACTCACATAGAGAAGTTTGCTCTCCGGGGCATGGAGCCCATCGGGTTCGCACTTGGGTACATGTTTGGCGATCTGCCATCCTTTAGGTTTCGGGTAATCTATGCCCACATCGGATGGTGGATTCCTTTGCCCATTTACGATGAAGACGACAAGCAATGCCACATGGGCTGGGTTCAGCATATTCGCCATAATGATTTTGGTGAAGCAAACACCCGGCTTCTCATCGCAGCCTACTGGGTCTGCGTATTTGTTGTTGGTCTCCTGACCGTCTTCCGTCTGAAGGAGATATACGAGGTCGATACGAGGAGGAAGGTGTTCCACTTCATGATGGTAGGGATCTTGTTGCCTGCCACCTTTGTAGATCCGACCTTTGCGGGTCTCGCTCTCTCTCTGATCCTTGCCATCTTCCTGATCCTGGACCTTCTCAGAGCCAGCCAACTTCCACCCCTCTCCAAGCCCATAGCCTCCTTCCTGGCACCATACGTCGACGGGAGAGACTTCCGAGGCCCTGTCGTCATCTCTCACATCTTCCTTCTCATCGGTTGTGCCATTCCGCTCTGGCTTGCCCTGGCCTCCCTCCCCCGGACTGGCTCAGGCTATCTTAGTGGATGGGAGCTCCCCGGCCGTGAGGTCAGCATGGTCTCTGGAGTCATTTGCGTTGGGCTGGGAGACGCCGCCGCCTCCCTGATCGGAAGGCGCTACGGCCGTCGCAAGTGGATATGGGGCGGGGGGAAGAGTCTCGAGGGGAGCCTGGCGTTCGCCATTGCCGTGTTTGCTGGCATCGCTGCCGCATGGGCGTGGCTCAAGGTAGGCGGCTGGCCCGTCACCGGGGAGCAGTACGGGGTCGCGACGAGCGCGCGGAACGCAGCGGTCTGTGCCTCCATGGCCAGCCTTACGGAGGCTGTGCTCACTGGCGGGAACGACAATGTGATTGTCCCCGTGGTCCTCTGGACCTGCGTGAAGAGTCTGGCGATTTAGAACGATCGATCATCGCGTGCATGCATGGCTTTGCGGCGTTTAGGGTCGTTTCGTTAATACAACGGCATGAGGGTTCCGTAGAATATGAATGTAATAAACGGCTATATATAGACTCGAAGAAGACAATAAACGATAACCAATGACCCAAGCTTCGTCTGACATCCTAAACTGATGATAGTATTTCCCTGTCAGGAAAGGATTTAATCATCTACGCTTGGCCTAATCTTGGGATGTCCCTTGCTTACGGCGAAAAGAAAGTAACAAATATCCATGCTTGTTGTACTGCTTCTAGAACCGCCTCCTGTCTGCTTGTTTTGTCCCAGCATCAAGCAGCCTCTTCAAACCCCCATCGAGCTTCTTCTGCAATCTTAACGTCGCTCGTCAACCTTACTTCCCCTTACCTTTCTCCTCGGTCTTCCCTTCATCCTTCTTTGGTGTTGGTTTCATTTCCTTGTCCACCTCTGGCTTAACGTCCAACATGATTGGAGCAACAACCTCTCCCCCACCCTGATTGTCGTCGGCTTTGATGTTCATAATCAAACTGCTACTGCCTGAGCTGGAGCCCACCTATGGTCCACCACCTCGAGGCTGAGACTTCGCCCCTCCGTGGATGGCAGGTTTCTTGGTCTTCTTGGTAGGCTTTGCTTGATGATTGCTCCTTCCCGGCCTTGCTTTCTTAGGAGGGGCTACTTTCTTGGGAGGAGTAGCCTTCTTTGGAGCTTTCTTAGGAGGACCTGCTTTCTTAGGAGGAGCTCTCTCAAAAAGTAGCTGTTGCTTTGGTTTTCTTCTCCGAGCCTTTCGTGCGTATTTGATGGTGTCGCGAGGGTTAAAACCAATTCTCGACGGCGGAATCGCGAACTCCAACGCCGATATCGAAATTGCATGTGTCCATATTGGTCTCAGTCCTAAGGCCCCTTTCATTTCCAAGAGAGTTGACTGTGGGATTCGAAATGGCGTGGGCGCCAGCGAGTTGCCCCAGCAATCTCAGCAAGGCCGGACAGAAGAGAACATAGGAGCAGAAGTTTTAGAGCCATTGATGTTAATTTGGAGGGTTTTAGAAGAAGAGATAGATCGGTCGGTATGAATAAAGGCAGATTCAAAACTTGCGATATATAACTCTTGAAGTTCGGGTTCGTATCTGTGTATGTTTATGGAGTTAGAAGACTTCAATTCTCATTTCTATGCTGTAGGAAGACACATGCCTTTATATAGAAGAATTTCAATCCTTATAACGAGCACCATGCACCTAATAGCTGCTGCAAATATTTAGTATGCTTGGATATATTTAGTCTACTGCAGTAAATACTGTATCAAAACCCGCATTTCCGCCTCAGTTGAGGAGTAAGCAACCACATCACATCACATTACAGAGGAATGACTTGTTTCATAAGGAGGGTCTTTAGATCTTGATTGGTACGAAGTACCTTATCTTAGTTAAGGGACAGTCATGTACGGACCATCGGGAGGTCAGTGAAAAATACTGTCAGTAACCAACAACTCGAGCATGGGTCCAAGATTCAATTGGATGTTGCAAGAACGACAATCATTATGCCGTTACGCAAAACATGATGCCTATTAAATTGCATTCGGATGTACCCCTAGGATGGAGATCTGTAATTCATTTGATGTCGTGAGCAATACTGAGCAGTTTGGCCAACAGAATATGGCACAGGATAGACAGCAAACACCTTTTCAAATGCAATGTAGTCTATGAGTCTTAGTGTCATGCAGATTACACGAAATATAGGCCAAACTTCCAAGAGGGATCAGGTTTAGAATAGTCAGCCTTTCCAAGTCCCTACTTTGTGGACTGATTCCGCCTGGCTTCCTGCATTATCCCAGTCAACTTGGGGGTGTTGGTCGTGTTGGTTGTGTTGGTTGAGATTTGGCCACTGGGAGGCCCCCAACGGATCCATAACGGAACGCTTACATGTAGTAATATGCAAGCTGCAGCTAACTTGATGTTACAGTCGGATAACTTGGCTAAATTTTCTCAGACTTCCATCTCCCAGCATTCTCCTCTGGCCCAACACGGCGTACTGCAATTGTCCCCATACAAACTTCTCTTGAGTTCATGTTCCGATGCCTCTCGAAAACCTCCCAGCAGAGCTCCAATCGGAGATTTGCTCTTACCTCGTCACATCGTTCGGACCTTCGCCAATTCATGCCTTGCTCAAAACATCCAAGAAATTGTATGATGTGGCGCTTCCGTTCTCTGTACAACTGTTCCGGAACACTAGCCCAATGCATGTAGGAGGAGGGCCTTGTTCTGGGACTCGGAACGCCCAGTTTCTGCGTTATATTCTTGTTTCAAAACCCGAATTGGCCAAGAAGGTTAAGACGGTGATCCTAGGTGGCTTCACAGCAAGAGAGGATGGAGACTCTCAGCCACTTGGGACGCTGGCAAGCACTCCGGAAGATCTGAGCATCTATGGAAACTTCATTGTTCACTCTCTGGGTCCACAGCTCAGCGAGGTTGACTTGGCTCGTCGCGATAAGTGGATTGGCCAGCTCAATGCCGGACATTCAGATGCACAAGTTGCACTAATTCTGCTGGCATGTGTGAACTTGAAGCAACTCTACTTCGAAGACTATCAAGAGGGACCCTCAGAGAATCCTACGTTCAGGAAGCCCCCATGTTTCATGTTTCTGCTGGAGATGGCTACGAGATGGCCAGTCCATGGTGTCAAGGCACCTTTATCAAATCTTCGACATGTGCACATCCAATCTCATGAAGATAATACTTGTGGTTGGGAACAGGCTTTCCGCCTGATGGCATTGCCCAAATTGAAGGTTTACGAATCTCTCAACGGCACAAACCGAGGTCTCACCCAAGGCGATTTGGCGTATCTACCATCAGATTTCAAGTCATCTGCCGTAGAGGAAGTCACTTTTCACCAGGCATTTGCGCTTGCTTCTGATGTCAAGCGGTTGGTGGGTATGTGCCAACATCTCAAACGGTTCGAGTATATCAGTGCGACCCATAGGCCGATTGTTGGGCTTTTTGCCCGGGACATAATGGATGCCGTGCTACCTCATGCCGATACTCTGCAGGTTCTATACCTCAACTTTGATGACGACTGTCAGAAGATTGGTTGGGAAGATGACCCGCATCGGCTGTATATGGGAATTAGGCTGTTACAAATGACGGCATTGCGGTCCTTGTTGATTGGGATGCAGTCTCTTACCGGTGTCTGGGATCCAGCTCCTGACACAAGACCAGGCATGCCACTCAGTATTGAAGGCGCTCCGAGGATCGTCGAGTGCCTTCCAGAGAGTTTGGCCGAACTCCATCTCCGAGATTGTGGCAAGGGAATCCTTGCACAAGCTGCGGAGCTGCTGGAGGTTATGGAGAAGGGAGAACGTCTGAAGAATCTTATTGGGGTGTTGATATTGTTCAAACATGAGAACATCACCCCTGAAGACGTTGAGCTAAGTTTAAACGCCAAAAGAAAATACCTTTCGGTTTGCTTCCAACCCAGAGCGTACCGCTGGCTCGATTTGGGGGGACAGAGTAGGACATTTGAGGGGATCCGTGTGATTCCAAGTCTATGTTCTCGTATATTTGCTGATGAGCTTCGGCATGATTGGATGGACTTTCGGGGAAGATTGACAATGAAGATGTATTATACTGGGTGTGATTGCGGATGGAGAAGTCGGGTAGATCCAAAGACGAGGGGCTTGAGACTGCTTATGAGAGCACCACCGCATGAGTATCAACTTGATGATTAGCGGTAATACTTTACTCTGGGACGAAGCCTGCCCTGGGGGCTACTATATGTTAGTAAAGAGATATTGATATTGCCAAATATATAACTATTAGTTATCGATGTCAACTTTCTTTTTGGCAATATCACAATCGTGCTCTCAAACTGATCACTGTGGCAGCCATGTCCAATCTGTAATGTTGATAAAGTCCAACCTGCAACATTTGCTGAAAGCGGAAGACAGACTGATATGATACATTGTAGGAGGAGTGGAGCTTCAGGGGCAGGCATCGGACCGGCCTTTATTGGGATCGAGGATCTAAATCAGAAGATAAGGTCCTGGAACGCGTCATTGCCGTGGCTGTGTGCGTGCAATTCACATGAAGGGCCCATTCACTCTGCGGAACTGCTTCTCCACTTGTTCGCACAAGCTTTTCTTGACGGCCCACGACCATCTGATATCCATGTTGCAGCTCTCCACTCCTCCACCATTCCATGGAGTCTGATACGAGCTGTTGATGACCAACAGCTGGCGAGGGATTGAGGTCGTATTGCCCAGTTGGCCAAATATTGATGTTATCACCGGGGTTTGTTGCTCTTTGCAGCTCGTATCGATGCCCTCCAACACAGCAGACGGCCGCTGTGTCGTCTCGTCCTCAACACCGCCTCGATCGTGTGAATCGGCCCACCATCTCTGCTGTCGTGCTATGATGATTCTTTTCACAGTATCGTCCAGGCACGGAGTCGCGAACCACAGAAACGGATCCACCAATGCCATGTGAAGCGCCGTCATTTGCCTGATCTCTCCACGGGTTGCGCGGACGCGTCTCCCTTGAGCGAGGCAAGACCGTCAACCCATGTCCATCCAGCCGGATAGAGTGAATATGCATACTGTATTGACGTACCTGATGGTGTCGATGCCCACTGTTTCAAGCAATAGTCCATGCCGGAGTAAGTTGCGTAGATCCGGTACCATCAGCTGGCTCTGCCCATCCAGTGTTTCTTTCCTCCCTCGCCCGTCCGTCCCTGCTACCGTTTCACCCGGAAAACACTCAAATCTCTCCAACATTCCTTAGCAACCTTCGTTTGTTGAGAAACACAAGTTTTTACTCCTGCTCATTCGTTCTGTGCCCCAAATCCCGTCGGTCGTTTCAATCATATATCAAAGCACATCACATCAGATCCGTTGATTTCTTGGCGGTCGATCAATAGTAAACTCCATTTATTAATACACTTCCACCTACCTGCTGGCAGAATGGTGCACCGCGAGTTCTACAAGCCCGGCGACTTGCCGCCCACGTACCAAGAGGTTGTGGCGCCACCGCAACAGAATATTGTCGGAGGAGGCGATGTCCGTCCACTGCAGACCAGTTTGCCGTGGTGGAATCCCCGATATTGGACCAAAAGAATCTGGATAGGAGTTGTTGCGGCGCTGGTAATCATTATCGTCATCGCTGTCGCCGTTGGTGTTACTCAGGCCAAGAAGAATGCCTACCCCAACTACTCCCAGTTGTCATATTCTTTGAAGGAAACATGTGAGCTAGAATTCATATCCAAGACATCGAATATCATCGGGCTGGATTGACACTATACGCAGACTCGGGAACTTCCTTCTTTGACAATTTCAATTATTTCACCGGCTACGATCCGAGTATGTTTCCATGGTTCTTCTTGTCTTGGAGTGTACTCGGCTAACGTTTGTTTGTAGCTCATGGTTTCGTCCACTATGTCCCTCGAGAGCAAGCAACATCGCTTGTATGTTATCCCAGTGCCGTTTTTGCATCACTGACTCATTCTGTTTGGGATATACTAACATGCCACGCCAGAACCTGACTTATGCGTCCTCAGAGAGTGCAGTGCTCCGAGTTGACACCTCAGTCGGCCCTGGTGACACACCGGATGCTTCCACTGGACGCTTCTCCGTCCGCATTTCCTCCAAGAACACCTACGACGAGGGTCTCTTCATCTTCGACGTCAAGCATAGCCCTTATGGCTGTGCCACCTGGAGTGCCCTCTGGCTCACGGACGAGTCCAACTGGCCCGACAACGGCGAGATAGACGTCATGGAGTCCGTTAACCAGGGTGACGACGGTAACCAGATGACCCTCCACACAACAGACGGCTGTTCCATGGGCGTCCGTCGTAAACAGACCGGCACCGCCCAGTACACGACCTGCGACCACGACAAGAACGACAACGCCGGCTGCGGCGTTCAAGGAGCCACAAGCTCGTTTGGAGAAGCATTCAACAACAACAAGGGTGGTGTCATGGCCCTGGAGTGGAGAGACGCCGGTATCCGTGTGTGGCAGTGGGCGAGGAGCTCGATCCCCTCTGATATCACGAGCAAGAACCCCGACCCATCGACCTGGGGGACTGCCGCTGCTGATTTCCCGAGCACGAGCTGCAATATCGGCAACCACTTCAAGAACAACTCCATCACTGCCAACATTGATCTCTGTGGTGACCTCACCGAGGCTACATATGCCGACTCTGGATGTAAGTAATAAGTATTCGAAACCACGTGAAAAGTGGTGGGCTAGACTAATACTGACCTTTCTGTCTTGTTTAGGCCCGAGTACGTGTTCTACTTATGTTGCCGAGACGCCCACTGCATTTACGAATGCCTACTGGGAATTCGGCTATTTTGAAGTTTATCAGAAATCGTAGATCACGCAGCGGCAGCACACGAAGATCATGGGATAATGATTTCGAGGATTATAAATGAACCGAGGCTTAGAGTGCCCACCAACTGCTGGAACATACGGGGAAATTTTGTTATGACATAGACCAGTTTTCTTCGGTCTGTAGAACTATTAGGCGGAGTCTATTTCTACACACTATATATGTAGCTTTTTATACCATCTATTGGAGCAGATGCCAAGAGAATGAACCTCTATATGGAAAAAAGAACCATCTCGTCCAAGATGGCAACAACGAAAATCCAAAGTGGAGAGAGAGCCGTATGTCTCCCCGAACGCCAGTTAATATGCTTTCTTCTAAAACGTGAAATCATCTCTGAGAAACGCCTCTGGTCGCAAAAAACCAGTAAACTTCCGACACATCGTACAACCGAACCCCCTCATATCCAGGCTCGTATCGCTAAAAGTACATGAAACCATTCTATCCCAGCCCGCAGGAGTGAGAGCGCTCTATTCGTCATTGCCGGGCGACCTCATGTACGCATCGATGGCGGCACTGAAGGCGGCGAAGGCGACGCAGCCGCCCGCGATGGCTTGGGGCCCGGCGTTCTTGGCCAGGATCCCGCCGGTGAGGCAGCCCGCCGCGACGCCGTTGGCGAGGTCGTTCTTGGCGCGGATGCCCTCGATGCCGCACTCGATCCCCGAGAAGAGGGCGCCGATCTTGCCGAAGTTCCTGGCCGTGGACCAGGAGCGGGTGCCCATGTCCTTGAAGCCGATCTTGAGCTGCTGGCGGAGCGGGAGGGAGGTCACCGGGGTCTGCGGGCTGCCCGGGGCGCCGTAGGGAGTGTCGTATGCCATCTGGAGCGCGGGGAGGTTAGTTGGGGGATTTGGAGGGGTTAAGAGGAGAGGAGGGGGGAACGTACAGAGGCCATGAACATGCCGAAGATACCACCCATGCCGAAACCCATGACGCCGGACATGACGGACTTGCCGAAGCATGACTCCATCATCGATTGCATCTAAAAATCACAAGTTAGCTCTTGTAACATATCCATCTGCTTCGGGGCGATGGCCTACCATCTTGACGTTGGGGTCGTTGGGGCCACCGGGCATGGGCGCCGGTGCCGCGGGCATCATGGCTCCAACGCCAGAGCCGCCAAAACTCGGAGGAGGGACGTTCATGATGTCGTGGGGATATGGGCGGGGTGTATATTCTGGTGGAGGTTGATATCTTAACCCCAATCGCGGCGGCTTCAACTTGGAAATCTTGGATGCTCCGAAATATTTCTGCCGCGGTTGACCGCCTTGAGAATTCCCGCTCAACCGCTCAAAGTCTATTTTGCTCGGCCCCACTTCTCCGTCAATGCCGTCTTGGCAGATGGCGATGTGGCGAAGTCTCTGGAGGCAGATCGAATTGAAAAAGTGGAAGGTAAGACAGTTGGAGGGATGGGTTAATTCGATCAAATATGTGTGGAAAATAGGGAATTTCGTGTTTGAATAATCCTTCCGAAAACCTAGGTAAAGATGCCAAAGTGCCAGCATGAGCAGCTAAGCGTTACTTAGACGGGTGGCCGCCTTCAACTTATCCCCAAGCACTTAGCAAGGGCTCTCGACAGATACTATTTCACATCTCCACTACTATCAGATCTTTGACTCCCACATTCCCCGTTTGACTCTCACACACTCCCTCTCTCTCGTTTCCCCCTTGTCGTTTTCGGTATCATGAATCTTGAAGATAAACATGAGGACGAAATAACCCCAGGGACATCTCGGTTTCGTCCCAAGCTATGCTTGGAAATCGCGAACCTCAGAGGCTGAGATCACAGAGATTGATGACATAGAGCAGTCAACGCAAGAAGAGTCGGCTGAAATAGCCCTCCCGTGATCCAAATTGGTAGCAATAAGGAGTGCTTCAAAGGGTGAACATCCTCCGCTCGAGGAGCTTGTGATCTTGTCGGTATTATCAGGGGTGCAATCATGAGCGCCCACCTCATCTGTCGAGGCCACAGCTTCGTCTTGTTGTCTGCTCTCGGGGCGAGGGTTTCTTTCAGGAGTTGAAGGGCCTAGCTCTTCATCGCCGGCTTGGAGATTTTTATCTGCTAAGGATGTCTTAGTTGGAGATGAAGGAAATCAATTATTTTCGCAGGAGCGTTCTGTTCCACGTACCAAGTTCTTGCATATGCTCGCGGACAAATGTCCTTGCTTGAGGCGAGTGTCTTCTTGTTTTAATGTTTTGATAATAGTGTTCGTCTGGGGGTTGTTTGGGTTATTCAATGTTCACACCACTGGCGGTAGGAAGCAATGTAACACCTACAAAGCATCGTCTTCGTGTAAATACGCCGCTTTGGTCGGCCCATCATCTCCTGCATGATTGCGGCGCATTGATTCCAGGATTTCAACCTGTCTGACATGTTTGCAGCCTGGGGCGATTGGGGAATAATGGTACGCCAGAAGATGAGCTCCTCTGCCTTGTTCCAGGTTTTCCCGCCCATTTCGCCGGTGGTCGCTGTAGGTGTCAAACAACGTAGAGCAGTGAAGTGTCTCAAGAGCTTGTTTGTGAGATGAGAATCAGCTGAGCCAGACCTCTTCGACAACGCTGGTTACCCAGGTGGAACCCGGATGTCTCGCAAGTCTATTCTTATAGGTTTGCTTTTATGCTGTCTGGCTCTGTGCTGCGCTCGATTCACCGCCGGTCAAGATGAAACTTACTGAATAAAAGAACAATAGGGCGGCCAGTGAGGTGGCGATTTCGCCTAGGAAGGCACCTGACGCGGATCATTCGTGAATCACAGACGTTACACGTGCACTGAAAGGCGTATATTCTGCCTCCTGCCCGGTGACATGACCGATCAAACCACAATATTCGTACAATAGTCAAGACAACCAACAACCAACACCGACTACTCCTCAAATGGGCTGCGAGGGTCCATGGCCACAACCCCTCTGGCCATTAGGAAGGCCGACAGAGGTCGCTCTATACGAGAAAACTGTTCGGCATTAGAAACCGCTATCTGAAAGTGAATTACCAAAACGAAAATACTCACGAAACTCTTCTGTTTGAGAGGAATCACTCCATCTCGAATCCAGAAACCCCACCCGCCCATCATATTGGCCAGCATCATATCTGTTGTGAGCCGATCGCCTACTACGGCAATCTGAGAGGGGTGCGTGACTCCTGTCTCGGGATGTTGCTTGAAATATTCCATGGTCTCCCTGCCACACCCTGGCTTCTTGACAGAATGCGACAGCACAGAGACACCTGTGTTCTTCTCCACCTCGACGGCTATTTTGAGCTTCGGGTCCCAA